CCACAATCTTCATCAGCCCACTCATGGTCTGTATTTTCAGTAATACAATGTTCTTTAAGCTCATAGTTATTTTTGCTGGTTGGGTGCCAGTTCCTGAAGGAGCTTTGGCTCCCGTCAGACCAAGTCCAGGGGTTCCTGTACAGACCGATCCAATAAAAACTTCCCCCTGGTTTGGCATTGTCGGCCTCAGTGTTTTCTGCCTCATTCTCAATCATGGCCAAGTCGGTGAAGTGTTCCCTGCAGTGCTGCTGAGCAGACTGCCATGTTTTGCTGGTTGGGATGTGGAAAAAGTTTTTTTTGTAGTTCTCTGAAACTGCAGCAGAAAATAACCCACAGTGAGTTCAGTTATTCCTCTCAGATATCAACAACAAATGCTCAAAGCTTGGATTCCGTTTAACTGCAGTCTGCATGAGAGGCTACATAAGACAGAACAAAAACTTAAACCTATTATCTGGTAAAACTGTTCCATTTGAAATTGAAGTTGTTGAAGCTCAGATCTGTAAATAAATTAAATTAATTTAAGTTAATTCAATTAAATATTTCAGTCAGACTCAAAACCTGAAACAGGAATTTTATTTTTCATGCTTTAGGTTTGGATCAAACATAAGAAACTCAATATGGATTAAGGGCATTTTGTTGCTTTTAATAAAACAAATCACTTTGTTAAATCAATAAAGTGTGATATTACCGTTGTAGCAGATGAATTCTCTCGGGGTCTCACATGTGTCATCAAACCATATAGCGTAAGAACCCATCACTGCACATGTTTCATTTGCGTCCCAGTTATCTGGCTGGTTATGGCCCCAGTTCTGGTACCAAGTTCTGCTGGTTTCTCCTGTTGCTGACCACCTCCAAGAGTTGGTGTCATTACCCATGGAGGTTCTCCAGTTTTCAGGGTCATCCCAGAGTCCGATCCAGGCCAGGGAATAAGAGAAATCAGCTTTCAGCCTGCTGAGGTCATCCATGCTGTCAAAGGTGGCCAGGTCGGTGTATTTCTCTCTGCAGAACTGTCGGGCTTCGGTCCAGTTCATTTCTGTGGAAACATAGTGGTACTGACGACGGGGGGGGCTGTGAGCAGGAGCTGAGGGGAAGTCCTGTGTATTGATGGAGGAAAAGTTACAGATACAGAAGATATAAATGTTGTATACTAAAAACAAGATTGTACTTTAAATGTGTGTAATATCAATGAA